CGGAACCTGAGTGTGAAGAAGCACCGTGACTCACACAACGCGAGGGACAAGGACTCTTATTTGATTCCCATCAGTGACTTCAAGGATGGTGGACTATGGGTCCTACTCAAGGCCGATGAAGAGGCTGAAAAGGAAGACATTGTGATCCTTGACGGAGAAAGAGGAATTGTGAAGAGTTTTTAGTCGGAGGAGGGGAATAAGCAAGTGATTCCGTTTGACCCCAGAAGATCGCATGCCACGAGACAGTGGAGTGGAAATCGCCTAGTTCTAGCAGTCTACAATGTGAGGGGTCTCGAGAGGTTCAAAGGCTTGGACAGGGAGATTGTCGAGCGTTTGGGTTTTCAGCTATTTCGAGATTCGAGCACTGTTGAGGCGCTTAAGATCCGTAAGCTTCTTGGGAGTGAGGGAGGAGATTCTCAGCAACCTCAACGAATGGAAGTAGAGCTGGAGCCGATGGAAGCCTTCATGCACATCAGGATGACTGAGGAAGAATGGAANNGCAAGATATGGTGCAAACCACTACATCGCGGGAATGGCTGCAAGGTGGGAGCATATCAACCCCTCAGACGATGACCTGAACTCAGTGATGCCTGCGGCTATAGTAGAGGATATAGAACGTGATTGGGTGCAGAATCCGAGGATGGTTTTTGTTGATGACGAAGGAGAAGAACTCCATGTGGGAAGTATGATGGCAATGACGACGGCCAGAGTTCCCAGCTTTGAACCAGGGGGTATGTCATCAGATTGGATCAAAGCATGTAAGGTGTACAACGCGGTATTGAACGTCGAGGAGATGATTGTTCTATGGATTCACCGAAGAGGTGTGGTTCACCCAGTGGAACCGGACGGACCTCGCGCCGATGGTGGAGACCCTCCAGTACCAGGAATGAACTTTCGTGGTGGCATCCCGAGACTGGCGATGATGTGTGCTCAAAAGGTGGACGAGTTGATGAAGTTCGTTGAAGTGGGAGAGGATGAAATCTNNTCTATACCCCGAACATAGAGAACATCGTCAGCAAGGTTAGCCCTGAAAGTCCATTGAAGGTGACTCACACGGTTGATCCTCGAGAAGTACTACCAGTTGTGGATGCCTGGGTTCCTGCAATGGAAGCAGAGCCTGCTGCTTTGGACAAGATGGCCGCGATCAAGCGCTACGAGGGCTCGGAGGCTCAGCAGATGAGAAAGGATCCAAATGTGGTCATTGTTCCTAGCAAGCTGGTGTTCACAATCAAACCGGGATTGGAGCCAGGTAAGATCAGACGGAAGGTCAGGTGTGTTGCCTGTGGAAATTTCTCTGGTGAGTCCGCGGAGGAGCTTGGGGATGTTTATTCGGCAGGTGCAACAATTGACCTAGTGAGACTTTGTCTGGCGGAGAAGAATGCCCATCAAGGTTGGATCGCAGCCACTGATGACATCAAGACAGCTTTTCTACGGGCGCCGATTCCGGATCTCTCGAATGGACGCAAGTATGCAATGGAAGCACCAAAGGCAATGATCAGAGCTGGTCTTGCGGAACCAGGAGAGCTATGGTTAGCTACAGCCGCTGCGTATGGCTTTCAAAGGAGTCCAAAATGGTGGTCAGAACACAGGAATGCTACAACTGCAAAGGCGAAGTGGCGCTCTCCAAATGGTGGTGAAATGAGGATAGTTCCTCGTGTGACTGATGAGAATCTCCACAAACTAGTGGAAATCGATTCGAGTGGAAAGGAGTCGATCGTAGGCTACATCCTCTTCTATGTCGACGATACGTTGGCAGGAGGACCGCCGGAGTACGTGCACGGATTCTTTGATTGGTTGGAGGCAACCTGG